AGAGAGAGAGAGAGAGAGAGAGAGACCGGGAGATATTGGCTTCGAAATGAATGTCAAAAACAGGTTTCGATTTGCGCTCCTCTAAAACGTGAACAAAAAGATACAAAAAGTCCTTAAAAAAGTGTTTTAAAATACATTAGAAATGTATGGAAAAATTGTTGGCATTTGAATGAAGCGGACGTGAATTGTATGGAAAGTGTGCTGTAATTGTGGTAAAGAATATGTAGTGAACCACAAGAGTTCGCTATTGGGATGCACTGGAAGTGGTGGTGGAGTGAAAGGGAATGGCATGTCTGGGGGATGGTATGGCTGGTGTGCGCTCTGATTGGCCCGCAATAGGGCTGATGCGAAGGCGTGGGCCTTACGTAAGAAGTGATGTGCATATGCTTTGGACACGCATTGAGTGCATGACATGCCTGTGCGCTGACAGAGTCGGGTCAGACAGAGGTAGTGCACCACTGAATGCAATAGATTCTAGTGTTGTATAACATTATTCCAGTCTTACAGTATAACCACATATATATATTGAGCACAGTTTCTGGTACTGAACCAGTCGTATGTCTGAAGTCTGGCTCCACATCCCTTTATCCTGACATTAATTTGTGGCTGAGTTTCACATTTTTTTTGTCACTCAATCTCTACGCCAAACGTGTATTTGTATCGGCGTTCACACAATTCGTGTAATTGTTTCCAAACGTATAGTCAATTCAACACTTCATTTCACATCAAGAATATGGGAATCAATAAGAATAAGGTATAGTATATATAGTGTATTCACTATTGCATTCACTATTGTATGGACTAATATATGTTGAATGTTAGGCCGATTTGGACGACTCGTTGGATTGTAGTCCACAACACGATAACATAGTTGTGGTCGATATGATGAGCCCGTGGTGTCCCACCCCTAAACTCAACGATCCAGGTAAATATATTTGCATTTATTCATTACATTCATTCAATATGACTCGCATGCTATTCGCCGGCGATTTATGTCATGAATATTCTGACATTAAAAATACTCGCAAAACGCTTGTAATTATCACTCATTTTATATCACTATTTATACAACACATGAATTTAAGTAATTCTTTTGAATTCTCTCTTAAGAATTGCCAGAATTTTATGGTTTATATGAATTTTTGTTTATTTGTTTAATGGTTAGCACTTATATGGGGGTTTCACTGTATTTGCAAACAGGCGACTGCTTTGAAAAACATGTTTTTACCAAAGAATTCATTTATAGATATATATATATATATGCATACAGTATATTATAATTGATGTGTCAATGAATATACTGTGCATTATTAGCAATTATTAGCAATAAGTTATAACTAATAATCTAAGAATTTCTATATGACTTGCATTTATAATCAAT